AAACCAGTGGTGCCTTCTAACCAACCCGAATTACCGGCAAAAATTATAAAGCCAACACTCACTAGACCAAACCACTCTGCGTTAACTCTCGTGTGCACCAATGTTCCCGAATCCAAATCTGGCACCCTAAAAGGCAAGTTGCAAGACGATCGCAATCAGTGGATTTCCATCTGCGAGGCGATTGTTATTCGGGTTGAGGCTGCGATGCTGCAACGCGTAGCGCGTCACCCGACCTCAGTGCGCTCTGGTGAACCTCGAATTCTTCGAGTAACACTAGACTCAGCAGATGAGACAGAGGCTGTCCTGCTCTCAGCAGTTCATCTTCGCAACTCACCGAATGGAGTGCGCATATTACCTGATCTACCTTGGAAAGATCGCCCAAAAGAAGCTGTTGACCAACGCGGCATTCCTAATAGGGATAGCAAGAAAACAATATTTGTTCATGGTGTTCCCGAGCTTCTATATTATTCTGACCACGATGCTTAAACACCTGACTGCGAGCAGTGATGCTACATCCGCGAAGCACTCTCCGTTGACAAGGTTATTTCCAAATCCCTGCTAAGAGTTCCGTCATCACTTATCTACAAATGCTGCAGTCATAGGCTAATGAAAGTAATACTATACTCCGAGGGAATGACGCAAGTTCTGTAGGGTAGCTGGTTAAAGTTTCGAGCTAGATTGCCAACAGAGATCCGGCTAAAGGCAGCAGGCGGACGGCGAAAAGTCGGAAGTAATTCGATGGAACTTTCAATCTCTACAAATTCTTTATCTGCACAGTCCTGCGGCGAGACCGACACAACAGCGCCCAGGGCGCACAACAGGACAGAGCGCAGCACGAGTGAAACGTCTATTCAGGAACGCTAAATAATGCCATGCAATATAACTGAAATACATAAATCAAAAATATTAGTAATGGCCGGCCACCTAATGGCCGGCTTAAAAACTAACACAAAGTTGACATCTGTTAACGTACTCCTGACAAAAAACCCTATTTTGCATGTACACAAATGCCCAAAGCCTTCTAAGCAAGTTGGCAGAACTTAGAGAACTCCATGCCTCACAACCGCGGGAACTCCTCGTGATTACAGAAACATAGTTAAACCCTGAGATAACCGATTCCGAGATCAATGTACCCGGTATGTCGCTGCTTCCGACCGATAGAACCGATGTAAAGTTATTGTTTACCCAGAAATCCGAGCTGCTGATTCGCTTTGGTGCCGCCTATGGTTTCGGAACAAGGACACACGTCTACTAGCCGTGATTTATCGCCCACCAAACTCAACGTCGGAAATGTACTCCAAACTGAACCACGTTTTTCAGTTTGCTTTGAAAAATTCCTACACCCACATTCTAATCGCTGAAGACTTTAACGTGCACGACATAGAAACGCCGGCAACCCACGGTACGCAGTTTAAAGCCTGCTTGCAAGAGCTAATTGCTAACCACCCTCTGTACAACCACGTAACCTCTCCCACCAGATTTCGAACTGCTAACAAACCGTCCATACTGGATCTTCTGCTAACTAACGAAGAACTCATGGTTGAAAGGATAGGTACAAGCAAAACACTGGGTCGTAGTGATCCTGTTACTCTATTTGATTATATATGCTATGCGGATTACCCTGAAAAGGAGGATGATAACGTGCATACTGTCACGCACTACAATGTGTTATCTAAACTTGTTAAGGATATATCTTGGACTTTCTTAACCGAATTACCCCAGATGTTGCCTGGGAAACCTTTAAAATGAGGTCTCGTTTCTTTATTTTCCACCTCTTTCTCTCGCCTCATTCCCACCCTCATCACTAACCTTCCATACTTTCCAGCTTAATTGACAGCAACCGAATTGCCACTGAAGTAGAACCATCTGCAGCGACCTTCCCACAGCACACAGCGGATGTCCATCGGCAACCATTCCTTATAACTCCACGCTGTGCCGTTTCCTTGCTGGCGTTCAATCTTCGCACTCAGACAAATTGGTCAACAGGCTGCACTTGCACGTACATTGGACACACTTGGTATTGAGGTATGTTGTGTGTCCGAAACTAGAATCAATAACCTTCGTGGGATTGTTGAATTAACTGTGCCCGGCTTGTCCTCTTCCTATCGCTTGTACGCACCCGGAGACGCTATTGCAGCATTCACAGGTCAAACTGGGGTAGGTATCTGTGGCAGCGCGCACGCGCGGGCCTTACCACGACCGCACTTCGTAGATTGTGATTGGATGCCCGTCCGTTCGCGATCAATACCAGGGTTGTTTTGAATGTACTGTGTATGTACCGTTGGCGTGAATAGAAGTTTGTGTTGCGTACCAGAAGAGTTCTGCTTCCTCGTTCGGGGTTTTGGTCGTGCTTGTTCAAGACCCTGCGTGCAGGGGACTAGTGTACGTGTAGACACAACAGTGGCGTCTGGGCTGTGGACCATTACAATGGCATTTTACCTTCTACCTCCAGAAGCCTTTTGGTGCGATCCTGCTACTAGACCTACGGAGAGTGATTGGATCCAATGGAGAACGTCTTTCACGAATTACTTGTACCTACTCCCAGCAACTACTACTTACGATGAGAAGCAAAAACCGAAACTACTTCGTCATCTGTTGGGCAATGAAGGTCAACGTTATTTCGATGCGTTAGATCTGCAGAAATTCGATACACTTACGAAGGCATTGGATGTACTCGATCAGTCATGGGGTGCACGGCCAAACATTTTCGCTGAACGCTACAAGTTCTGCTGTTTGAGGCAAGAAGATGCAGAGCCACTGGAACAATTTGTCGCTCGTTTAATTCAGTCTGTAAAAACCTGTGACTACACTAGCATCCCGAAGAATAAACTTGAGAGTGTTATGCTGACGCAGCAGTTGATAACCGGTATAAAGGATAATCGTACACTCGAAAAGCTACTTTCCGAAGATCCTTCAAAACTTGCCTGGGAGAGAGCCATAGAGATCGCAAGACTAATAAAAGCTGCCGTTGAACATTCGAGCCTATTCAATTCGAGTGATATACTAGAAGTCAGTAAGATTCAGCACAAGGGTTCCAGTCAACCTCAGAATTCGACTGTTTCGTGCTATAGATGTGGGTTCTCGCCACAAAGCTGACTGTCATACATGTCCGGCTCGTACAGCTGAGTGTGAAAGCTGTGGTAAACTGGGCCACTTCGCCAGATGCTGCCGCTCGCGTCTAGTCGCGTTAATTGACCAACAAAATGATGTTTCCACCTCACCGACTACACCGAATGTTTTTTCTATCAGAAGACGATTACAACCAGAAACACGACGAATTGCTTCGCTTGAACCCAAGCTCCCTGCTCCTGACATACGTACCGTTACACTCCATGGGCTTAACACTTCTGTACCAGTGACTATGGAGCTAGACTCGGCATCGCCGATAACAATTATCCCGTTCAGCATTTACGACAATTACCTGCAAGACATTCCATTACATCCTACGTCGTATAAATTCGAATCGTACACAAATTCACGTGTGCAAATTCGGGGATATATAATGACGAAACTCAGTTTACTCTCAGTCGCATCTGATGTTGCTGTGTATGTTGCCTCCGAAGACAGTCCAGCCTTGCTGGAGCGAAATGCTATGATTGCCCTCAACATAACACCATCTATCGAGCGAATGAGCATCATGACACTCAAAACATCAGTACTTAAAAGCTTATATCCCAAATTATTTACTGAGTCGATTGGCCGGATTCTATCCGCTGCTCATCGAATATGCCTTAAAAAGGACGCTGAACCGTTTTCGATTTCGCAGCCACGTCCTATTCCATTGGCCATACGTACGATGGTAGAAAAGGCCATACAAGAGATGATTTCCAACGATTGGATAGAGCCAGTTAACTGTTCCGAATGGGTGCATCCCATGGTCACGGTGTGGTGGATTTAAGGTAGATACTACTGAGCCGGATATAAGTAGTGTGGTCCAAGCTGACACACCAACAGCGAGCCTTGCCGACTTCCCCAAAGTTGAAGATGACCTCAGGATTACAGTTCCATGTGCACGAAGAGTAAACACAGAGGTGAGCGGATGAGCGGATGCCTCCAAAGTAACTGTGTGGAAGTCACGCAGTTGAGCGGACGCCTCCAATGGATGTACGAACACACCTAGTGTAAGCCACTTTATTAATAAACAAGTACCTCGTGCCACGGGTTCTAACATTTGGTGCCGTGACCTCGCAAGCCATGAAGATCCCCTGGCCGGAACGATTTGAAGACGGGATGTGAAGGTGTTTTTGGAGGATTTCGAGGAGCTGGCAGAGGCGGCTTGACTAAAGACGGATCGGGCGAAGATGGCGGCCCTGCGGAGTCTCCTCAAGGGCAGGGCGAAGGCGGTTCTGGAGGCGGCGCTAAGAGGTCCGGTCAAGTTGGAGTGGACCGCCGCGAAGAAAGCGTTGCTGTCTGGCCTGGACACGCCAGCGGACCGCCAGGAGGCGATGCGACGGTTCAAGGCGTCGCGGCTTGTTGCGGGGACGGATCCCCTCGTGTTTGCGGTGCACCTCAGAAGCTTGTTGGACCACGCCTTGCCGGGGTTGGATGGGCCGTCAAAGACGCAGTTGCTGGTGGATCAGTTTTTGGCCGGCCTCCGACAGCCAAACGCGGAGCGCGTTCGGATTGCAAATGCCACTCGGAAGATGCAATTGGAGGAGTTGGCGCAAGTTACTCGAGACCTGGGCGACGCACCATTAGCTACGCTGAAGGAAGAGCCACGTGAGAATGTGGAACGGATGGACAAATTGGAACTGATGATGGAGCAGCTTACGGAAGACATCAATGGGCTTCGCGTTCAGCGTTATCGGGTGCGCACAAAGGGATGTTGCTTCATCTGCGGGAACCCGGGGCACTGGAAGAGACAATGTCCGCAGAGGCGTGGTGTTACTCGGGTGTCGAATAAACGTGTGCAACCTTATTTTTCTTTTCTAATCAAAGATTGTGTACTTGGGGCGTTGAGCAGGAGTGCGGTTGAAGCAATGGTGGAAGTAGACGGAACGATGGAAAGGTGTCTGGTCGATACGGGTGCCGCAGTGTCACTAATCAACCATCGGCGAGGTGAAAAGCTTCAGTCGTGCTGCACGATCGTAAGAGCGGTTGGCGGTCATTCAGTGGGAATTGATGGTATAGCCGAACACACCCTAGGAATCGGGGGACGAAAGCGAACACACTCCTTTCTCGTTTCACCAGATGCGAAACAAACCATATTGGGAGAAGATTTCCTGGAGCTCAATAAAGCTGTCATTGATCTAAAGCGTGGGAAGTTGCTAATGGAATGCGGGTCACTACCACCCATTAATCGTGGAGAAATGCGATCTTCGCAGTCGGTCGTTGCTGTGTTACATTTGAGCCCATCATTGCAGTCGCTGATTAACAAATACCAACCCTTGTTTACGGATGACAGCAGCCAATATGGGTTTTGCGATTGGATCGAGCATACCATCCCGCTAACTCGCCAACCGTATCGGCCCCATGGACCTCGAAGGATACCAATCCACCTGGAGGCTGAGGTGAACAGGCAAATGCAGGAAATGCTGAACGCGGGCGTGATTGAGGAGGCACATAGCCCGTACAACTCTCCTGTGGTCTTAGTGAAGAAGCCGAATGGGAAGTACCGATTCTGTGTCGACTTCCGAAGACTGAATGAAATTTCCTTGACTAGCTTTGTTCCAGTTCCATCAGTTGCTAACATTTTTGCTCGGCTGCAGCAGTCGAGGATATTGACGGTCCTGGACTTGAGATCAGGATACTGGCAACTGGCAATAAAACGAAGATCGAGAGAAGACGGCGTTTACCGTTGGTGAGAAACAGTATCAGTTTAAGAGGATGCCCTTTGGATTATCAGGAGCCCCGTTTATCTTCCGACGTCTAATGCTGCGATTGCTGAGTGAACTGGAAAACGTGGTGGTGTACGGGGATGATATCGTGGTGTATAGCCAATCAGAAGCGGAACATATCCATCATCTCGCGGCAGTTCTGGAACGCATTCAGCAGTCGGGACTTCGTATAAACGGACCAAAGTCCCAGATCGGAAAGACCTGTGTCACCTTACTGGGTCATAAAGTGGGACAAGGCGAACTGAAACCGCTACCTGAGAAGATAATGACGATACAAGTCAGCCCAGTTCCCACCTCGAAACGCACTCTCCGTACATTCCTGGGCCGCGCCGGGTACTACAGCAAATTCGTCAAGGATTTTAACACATTGGCCTCACCCTTGTACGAGCTGTTGAAACAAGATAGGAAATTCACTTGGAATGCAGAAGCTCAACGAGCCTTTGATCAGATTCTACAGGAAATGGGAAGGCAGGAGTTGACCCTGAAATTGCCCATTGCTGGTGAGATGTTCACGGTAGCCACTGACGCCAGCGATGTCGGGATCGGTGTGGTGTTGAAACAAAACCATGGGACGATCGAATACGCCAGCCGAACTTTGACTCCTGCGGAACGCAGATACTCAACCATAGAGAAAGAATGTCTCGCAATTGTCCGGGCGTTAGATAAATGGCGGCCATATCTCCTGGATCAGCGATTTCACGTCGAAACAGACCACAGACCGTTGGAGTGGATTAAGTCTGACAAAGACCCCAGAGGAAAGCTGGCGAGATGGGCATTGCGCTTACAAGAGTATGATTTCACGATAAAACCCGTGCCGGGGAGGGAAAATCAGACGGAGAATTTCTTGTCACGCATGATAGATGATGATGACCTGCCGAGCGTAGCTTACGATATTAACGGTATACTGTGCGAGCAGGATCCATAACGGTTGGCAAATGAGCAACGTAGCGACAAACTAATACGCAAGTTGATCACCGCGCGATTAACTGGTCAGACAAACTTCAACAAAAACCAACTCAAGCGGCTGGGACCGTTTGCAAAAGACCTGGGAAAGCTGCAAGTGAACGAAGCAGGGATCTTAATGTGGATACCAGGAGGTAGCAACCCTTCGGTGCCAGTCATTCCAATGAAACGAAGACGGAATCTAGTAGTTTCTTGTCACGAGATGGCGCACACAGGTTGTTCCAGGACCTACGATCTGCTGAAACAACGCGCGTCTTGGCCGGGAATGAAAATGGACGTTGAGAAGTGCGTACTTTCGTGCCGACAATGCCAGCTCATGAAAACGGATTGCCGAGGAATGCAGCAGCAAACGATAACGATCCCGGTCTCGGAAATTGATGAACTGTGGTCGGTCGACGTGATGGGGCCGTTTCCATTGACCAGGCGTGGTAACCAGTACATTTTATTGAGGACGGAGCACTTCACGCGATGGATTGAGGCGACAGGCATCCCGGATCAACGGGCTAGCACCGTTACCCATGCTGTCATGAATCACTTGGTAGCGGCTCACGGAATCCCAAAGGCCATCTTAACAGACCAAGGGCCGTGCTTCGAGAGTGAAGAATTCCGGAACTGTTTGGAGAAACTTGGCATCAAGAAATTGCGCACCACCCCATACCACCCGCAAACAAATAACCTGCCGGAACGTAACAATAGAACAATCAAGGAGTGGCTAGCAGCAAAAGGTGGAGACTGGGAGGAATCGTTGCCGCTACTGTTGCTGGCCCATCGAGCAACCAAACAGGCTCCCACAAAGAAATCACCATTCCAGTTGATGTACGGTCGACAACCTAGTCTACCTGTGGACCTAGAGATTGGAATGTGGCCAACTTGCCGTATATCTCCCGAGGCGACACGTAGTAACCGGAAGACCGCCAACCGCAACCTACAGGCGACTCAGGCGCTGATGATGGCGAAGTTCCAGACCAGCAAAGGTGGAAGGAATATCGAGTTTCAAATTGGTTCGAAAGTGAAGTACAGGGACCATCAACGCTACCCCACTTGCGGCCCAGGGGAAAGGAAACTCCTAGCGAAGTGGAAAGGACCGTACGAGGTACTCGACCGACGAGGCCCAGTGTATACAATCGCTCGGCAAGGTAAATCGCGGAGGGTGAATGCCAGCGAGCTGAGGAAGTGGTACGAATTGGAGGAGGAAACACGCTCGTACAGTGAACATCCCCGGCGGTCAGAAAAACTCCGACGGAAGGCAGCTGACGCGAATCCTTTGGAGGGGGAGGAGTGTGGTGGATTTAAGGTAGATACTACTGAGCCGGATATAAGTAGTGTGGTCCAAGCTGACACACCAACAGCGAGCCGTGCCGACTTCCCCAAAGTTGAAGATGACCTCAGGATTACAGTTCCATGTGCACGAAGAGTAAACACAGAGGCGAGCACCAGTTGGGAAACACTCTATGGAAATCACGCGGATGAGCGGACGCCTCCAAAGTAACTGTGTGGAATTCGCGCAGATGAGCGGACGCCTCCAATGGATGTACGAACACACCTAGTGTAAGCCACTTTATTAACAAACAAGTACAACGTGCCACGGGTTCTAAAAACGGTGTTAAAGAACGACGGTACTGGGCGCATATGCATCGACTTGAAAGCGTTGAACAGTCAGATCGTCGTCGAAAAATTCGTTCTTCCCACTGTTGACGAGTTGTTGGTCAAGATAACTGGCGCGCGATTTTTCTCAAAGCTAGACCTGAGGAAGGCCATTTTCCACATGCCATTGACACCAGAATCCAGACCACTTACGGCTTTTCTGACATCGAGTGGTCTATTCCAGTACAAAATCTTGCCGATGGGACTTAGCTCCGCTCCAGCAGCTTGGCAGAAGTTTATGAATCACTCACTAGCAGATCTACCGGGACAAATCGCTTACATCGATGATATATACGTTTTCGGGAAATCAAGAGATGAGCACGACTCAAGGCTGCGCGCTGTGTTGCAGCGATTGGAGAGCCTAGATCTTCGGCTAAACCTGGAAAAGTGTATATTTTGTGCTACGGATGTCGAGTTTCTTGGGTACGTCTTATCAGCTGGTGGAATTAGGCCATGCGCAGCTAATACTCGAGCTATCACGGAAGCCTTTGTACCGAAGAATACATCCGAGGTCAAGCACTTTCTTGGTTTATGCTCGTACAACTTGCGCTATTTGCCCGATTTTGCAACTATAGCGGAGCCATTGAGAATGCTGACAAAAGAAAAAGCTACGTTCGATTGGAGCTCTTCGCAGCAGTCGGCCTTTGAAGAAATTAAAAGACGCCTCGTCTCCACCCCAATGCTGGCCATTTTCGACGAAAGTTGCCCAAAATTCGTCTCAACGGATGCGTCAAACATCGGTTTAGGAGCGGTCTTGTCTCAAATTCAGAACGGTGAGGAAAAACTGATTGCATATGCTTCTAGAAAGTTATCCCCTACTGAAGTTTCATATTCCGCAGGTGAAAGGGAGGCCCTTGCCTGTGTATGGGCCTGTGAAAAATGGCACCTGTTTCTGTTTGGTCGGAGATTTACGTTGCGTACGGATCATGCTGCTCTAACTACCCTACTCAGCCGAGGAACCAATGGTCACAGGCCACTACGGATTAACCGCTGGTATGCGCGGTTACTGAACTATGATTTTCAAATCATCTTCCGCCCTAGCTCCGAGAACCGTATGGCAGATAGCTTATCACGTCTCCCATTGGATGATTCAGACAAGAATGAAGACGACGAAGAAAAAGTCATGATTTCTGCTTTACAATCAAATGAGCTCTCCGCGGTTACTAAACAAGAGCTTCAAGAAGCTAACCGGAGTGATTCATATGTGGAAGATGTCATTCACTATCTCTCTCAAGGTTGGCCTCGCTACGCGAAGTTGAGTGGTGAACTACGGGCGTTTTATGTTTTACGACATGAGCTAGCGGTCGTTGATGATTGCCTTATGCGAGGATCGCGATTCGTAGCTCCACAGAAACTGACATCAAAAATTATCCAATGTGCACACGAGGGACATCCAAGTATCGTACGGACGAAGCGCCGACTTCAAGAATACTTTTGGTGGCCAAAAATGAATAAAATGGCAGAGGCGTGTGTCCGGTCTTGCGATGCATGTCAGAAGGCCGACAAGAGCTCCAAACCAATCGATGCCCCCATCCAACCTGTTACTTATCCAATGAAACCTTGGTCGAAGGTGGCGATTGACTTCATGGGATCGTTTCATTCTGCGCCACAGCACCAGAGGAACTGCTTAGTTGCCACGTGCTATTACAGTAAGTGGCCGGAATTCCATTTGTGTGGCGATGTGACCACCTCAACCGTTATACGGTGGCTGAAACATCTGTTTGCTAGATTTGGGTTTCCTGAGGAAATTGTGACAGACAACGGACCACAATTCACGAACTATGAGTTTAAACGTTTCTTACAACTTCGTGATGTGAAGCACGTACATACTGTCCCGTACAACCCAGCTGCCAACGGCATGGTTGAGCGCACTAATCGCACGCTAAAGGAAACTATACAGACGACACGTTTGTCCGGCAGGCAGTGGGAAGATGCCGTCTTGGAGGCTCTGTTTACTCACCGAACATCGCACCACAGAGCGACTGATCGCACGCCAGGTGAGCTGATGTTTGGCAGGAAGTTGCGTACGCAGCTATTTCGGCTGCAGAAAACAACGACCCCCACCAACTGGAACGTCGCCGGGGTTATCAGTCATCCTACGAAAAACGGGCCACATCGCTGCTTCCTGGAACGTTGGTCAGGATAAAGAAGAGGCAAACACGGAAAGGAGAACCGGCACTGACGAGACCCATCAGAATTACTCGTGCGCTAGGGCCAGGAACTTATGAGTTAGCAGACGGCCGACGAGTCAACGCCAGACAGCTATATTCAGCACTTCAACCGAAGCAGTGTCCTGAAGCGAGGGCCACCGCAGTGAACCAACCGTTGAAGAGGGGGAGTAGTGTGGCAGCGCGTACGCGCGGGCCTTACCACGACCGCACTTCGGAGCTTGTGATTGGATGCCCGTCCGTTCGCGATCAATACCAGGGTTGTTTTGAATGTACTGAGTGTATGTACCGTTGGCGTGAATAGAAGTTTGTGTTGCGTACCAGTAGAGTTCTGCTTCCTCTTTCGGGGCTTTGGTCGTGCTTGTTCAAGACCCTGCGTGTAGGGGACTAGTGTACGTGTAGACACAACAGTATCATTCTCAGCTCCAAGGCTGAGTCATCGTTGGATTCCGGTGAACAGACGTTTGTGTGCAACCCGTTTGACCACATCAACCAAGGTTGATTACAAAGAAGTACAAAAGCTGTTCGTTTATGATTCCCATTTAAGCTCCCACCAACTGCAGTTCTGATGCAGTCGGGCCGTTGCCTAGAGGTAACGAGCTTGTCAAGTACGCTTGCGACGCGGGTTCCGTTCGGTGTAGGGGTGGTCGTCCTCGCGGTATACTCAGCCCACGTGCGACTGGTGGTGGTCGCACTGCAGCGAAGCGCCGTTACGGCGTACAGCTGACAGATTATTATTTGAAACAGTTAGTTCCCTTTAGTAATTTGAAATGCGCAGTAATAAGATGAAGACTGGCATTGCAGTTTAAGAGTTCTGTCTACAGGAAATCAACATGGTCCGAGCAGTATCTGCATTTCACTAGGTTAACACCAATGCAATACAAGCGGATGCTCGTGAGAACCCAGATTAGCCATGCCAGACGAATCTGCTCCACTGATTGTCTGGCTGACGAACTGCAGTAGATTAGCAAGACGCTCATTGAAAACGGCCAACCCCGTAAGTTCATCGAGAAACGTAGTCAACTGCGACCAAGGGACCTAGTACACACGGTACCCAAGAAGCCTGTAGTCATTGACCTGTCATTCAAAGGTGACGTCTCCTTGTTGAGGATCACAAGACGTCCGATCTGTGCCATACAGACAACTCCCTATGCCGCCAAGGGCGCTGTCATTAACAAAACCCAAAAACTGCCACTTTATCTGTAAAGCAGGCTAAGCCCATCGGGGCCAAATCTCATTGCCTTTACCAATTCATTTGTGACTGCGGCGCCAGTTACATTGGTGGGACAGATAGAACATTGAGTTCCCGAATGTAGGAGCATGTACCTATGTGGATTGAACCTTATACGGCGCAGGAAATTGGCCAGAGTCAAGCAGATTGTCTGCGTAAGCCACCAGCCTCTTCGATCGTCCGACACTTTTTGACCACAGTTCACCGAGTCGAGATCACTTCGGTGTTCACCATCCTATTACAGCTTACCGATTTTTGTCTTCTCCGTTTCGTAGAGGCTATTGCAATTAACCGGAGTAAGCCGCTGCTTTGTGTTCAGCAACAATTATCGGTCAACGTTAGACTGCCTTGGGAATAGGGAGTGATAACCTTCTCTCGTTTATTGTGTGTCGGTCTATTTGTTTGTTTTCAAGTAGCTTTGGCGGGAGAGTCTATGATGTGCTGAGGCTGGTGGTGCCTAGATCCTGACGGATGGTCTACCCACTGCTGCTACAGTTGCGCCATTGTCTCATGTCCTGGACGCCTCCTCGTGGCGACCACTATGTGGGAGTTGGGTTATGCCCTTCTTTCTGCTAACATCCAGGACACCAAGCCGCATGAGTCAGTGAACTGGCCATGTGCTCGACCCGCTGCCTTTCGGGTGAACATTTAATCGGAGCCTTTGTCTGAGAACCCGAGTTGTTCTCCAGTCTCCTGCCAATATCCTAGTGCCTGCTCTTCGGAGGTTAGGAAGTGGTCGATGGCCATCTTCCCGTAAAACCTATCCATGGGATACACCCGGTCTAGGAGTTATAAGCTCACACCTCGATTGGCGTAGAGTGAGAGCGCCACGCATTGTCTGACGGTCAGAGGGCACCTCCGGGTGTTCAATGGTTTGCTACCACCCGCCTCAAACCAGGCAGCCCCTGGTCAAATTGGAGCAAATCCGCAAAAACCCACCTGCGTCCGGCCGTGGTTGCAGGTGCGTTCCCTACCACGGTAGCAAAATACATACGAATCGTTCCAGTACCTCAAATACTGCGTGTGAGGACCGTCAAGCAGATTCCAATCTGTCGCTACAATCACATTCCAGAGTTGGATGTGCTCCCCACTGCCTTGTGGGTCAGGCTATTGAGCCAAAGGCTCCAGACGTATTCCCACAAGCAAACCTCTAACTCTCCCATTGCTTTGTGGGTCACGCTACTGAGCCAAAAGTTCCGGGTGGAGTCCCCCAAGTAAACCACCAAAACACATCCGCCACCTCGCGTGCGATTGCCCACCAATGCAATCGTATGCCTGCGCGCAAAGCACTCAGCACATCGGGAGTTGGAACGTGCGAACACTACTGCACCGGAACTCGAGTGAGCGCCCGAGCGACGCACTGCAGTCGTCGCAATGGAACAGTCGCGCTCATCATCACCATCATTATACACATTAGCTAGAGGAGGTAAAAACCTCAGCTACTGT